GCCTGTTTCATAAAAATTACTAATTGCAAGTACACTTCTCTCTGTGTAAAAAGGCTTTAAGTAATTAATAGCCGACGGTATTGTTTTAAGGAAAGCAATTTTTCTCATTTAAACAGCAGCGAGGAGTTAGCGCTGATTCTTTCCGATCAAAAGGTTACGCGTTTATGTTTCTCCTTCGTACGGCCTTTAAGTTTGTTCCACTCTTACGTTTCCCCAAGTTTTCTGATTGCACAAGGTTCTGCAAAAGGGAAGCGAGCGAGAAGTGAAAACTCCCCTGTCGCCGTTAACAATTTTCAACTCTCTAATTATATCAGGCAAGAATATTTTGTGAACATTTAATTTCATTTTATCTTTCAAAATCTTTATTTTACTATATTCAAAATATACAATAAACGAATTTTTGCATCAGGAGCTTATATACAGGGTGAACCATGAATCGTATTCAGTAGATACTCGGATGGTCACAACGTTACTTCTATGTTACGTAACAGGAATGTTACAGCGTTACTTCTGCATTTAGAAATTTCAAGAAATTTTTTTTCAGTATCGCGAAACTGTAAAGGAAATATTTCCTTTACAAAAGTCAGGTATAATAAGTAGGTTGATCTTTAATTTTATTTGAGGAGAATCCAAAAATTCTTTCAGAGGAAAAATAGCAAAGCAAATGACGGAAGTATTGTTTTCTCTATTACTGCCTATTTTCCTTTCCTCGCCACTTCATTCAACGTATGAGTCTGAGTCTGATTAATGTAGTGTCACGTCGTGGATAATGTCACCACCGGAACATCGTAAATACGCGAACCAGATGGCTCGCAGTAACTTCGGAAATGAACAGTGGAAAACGTCGAGGATAATCGTGTTAGAACGCGGACAGGTGGTCAGTTAGCGAATTCCTTCCTATTCCTACGCACTCCAAATTTCCGTCGCCGTGAAAAACAAATAATACTCTCCCTCGTTTCATTATACCAGTAATAACTAAATCTATCCTATTCTAAAAAGTAAATGGAAATGTAAAGAGCTTTTCGTATAGTACAATTCAATGTTGCAAAATAATTGTAACTTTTGTAATTCTGTGACCTAGATACGTGCGCCGTATTCGAATTATTTTAGCTCGATTACATGAAAAGAGAGAATCTTTGAATTTCAATTACAACTCGGTACATTCGGAGTTTCTTCCAGTTGAACAATAGCAATCGACCGGAGTATCGTGAGTCTGCAAGAACACAGATTTCGGGGATTGCGAGTCCAAGTCAAAAACGTGAGCAACATCCCTTAGACTGAATTCCGGCCGTATGCTGCACGTAATGCAAAAAGGTAACCAGGAAACTGACAATGCATTTTGCCTACCAAATATTTTTATTCAATTCTGTTATATGCGCGAGTAATAAACCATTGACAATGGATTGAACCTAGCGAAAATCTTCTCTACTCATTAGTAATTAAAATCAACGACGAAGTACGTAACGAACTGTGAATTTCAGAAAGCAATTAACAAGATCCTGATTTATTACGCTTGTCGCGCTATAAGAAATTTGCTTCTGTTTAGCACTGAACACAACGGTTTGCGGCGGCAGGAGGCGAGGATGAGGGTGAGAGAAGAATCTTCAGGAAGTTCTACACCTCGCTCGAATAACATACTAATTAATTTAAGCAAGTTCTTTGACGTTTCTCGGAGGTAGCGTTTGCGATTAGGTGGAAACTCGAACTCGCGGCTTTAAGAGAATGTAAATGATAGTAGGTAGCTGCAAGTTCATTACAACCGCCCCGTGGCGGGGCCACAAAATTGTTCGGAGAAACTTCCGTTGAATAGTGGTTAATTATAATTAATTCCATATTGTCTGCTAGGCAGCTCGTGCTGATTCTTCGCTCTCCGCTGAATCATTCACAATCCGACCACGAAGTTTTAGTTATCACCCAGATTAATATGAATATAAAATCAGCCTGCTACGTCATACTGAAACTTTTCATGAATGTATTTTGCTACTTCGTTGAACATCATTCTTTATAAAATATTAAATACAATTGATCGTTTACTTTGAAAAGTGGCCTAAGACTATTTTCCAAAAATGATC